GCTGCTATGATCCCAAAAAATAATCTGAGTTTAGCAAAAAGGGCATAGTTTTATCAAGATACAGAACGGACATTGTGTGGAATAACAGAATTCTGGTCACTGGAAATTCAGGGAAGCATCATTTGATAATTTCTGATACGCTTTTGCCTTGCAACAGTGTTAACCACAAAACAAAGGAGAGCCCTGCTTGCTTCTTTTGGAAAACATTCAGAACAGCTAATTTGGTTTAGCTAGCATTTGTGTGAAAATGCAAATTGTCGTGCCCCCTGCTTTGAATTGGTGTTTTGGACATCTATTCGCTTATTCCCTCTCCAGCCACAGCTCCTGAAACAAAGGTAAATTATCTGGATCATCAGAACAACTCCTTTAGGATCCTTGACTCAGACAACAGTGCTTTGAATTGGTGGACCAAAGATAATTTTATTTTGAGGACTTCTATTCCAAGAACCTTTATTTGCTACTGGCATCATATGTAAGTTTCTTGGAGGGTAAGAGTGCAGAGGCCTTTAAAGAGCAAGTGTCTTAAAAGAAGTTGCCCTCTGAAATAATCCATATTTTAACCTCCCAAGTGATGATAGTGGTCAAAAGCAATTTTTTCCACTTCAGTAAGATGTGAAAGAATGCACAAGATTGGTGTCATAGCTTTTATAAATTTACAAGTGGAAACAAAAGCAAAAACCTTTAAAGGCTGAGGCTGAAAATTTTGCCATAGCACTTCAAGTAACCAGTTGAAATGAGGGGGGAGAGAGGGATTAATGTGGATTGACTCAGCTGTAGATACTGGAAAGTGTTCACAGAAGTTACAAAAAAATAAAGACTCTTATTCACTGGCTTTTTTTTTTAAACCAAACTGGAAAAAAGTGCTGGTCAAGTAGAGGAACAAAATTTTGGCCCAACACACAGTGGGGATACCTCGACTCCCTTACATCCTCCTCACTCTGTGATACTCCTTTCTCCACACCCTTTCACTTATTTCTTTTTACTCCACCTTCATCTCCCTTTCTCCTCACACTTTACTTTTCCATTCCTTTGTGGTCTTCCCCCCCCGCCCTTCCTTACCCTCCTGCTCCATTTCCCATTACTTCCCCTGCTCTGTCTCCTTTCCCTCACTCTGTCCTCGGCCATTTTTTCAAAGGAGTTCTTTAAAATGTGCTTTGCTTTGGTAAAGGGGACTTTTCCTTATCAGGAGAGGTGTTGTGTTGCTAACATAGAAATGACTATGCAAATGAACATATATAATATTGGTATGGGAATTACCATACTTATGCCTGTTTAAAGTTCTGAATATGCCAGGTGTAAACTAGATTATTCCAAAAGCCTTTTCCAACTCTGTGTGAACTGAGATCTCATACAGGTAATAGAAATGGTATGCCTTCACTCCAACCAACCTCCCTCTTGAGCAGAGCTGAGCAAAGTTTTTCAGGCGAATAGTGGATTTGCCAGGAAATGCAGTTTTCCCCCAGCCCCCAAACTATTCACAAATTTGCCAAATAGTTTCAGCCAGGAAAAAAAAAAAAAAGCTAGATCCACAAAACAGCCAGTGAAGGAGCATGGATTTGAATTTGTGTCTCACAGGTTAGTGCCCTAGCCACTTAATTCTCATTCTCCCAGTGACTAGTCACATATTTTATACAAAGTTCAGTGGAGAGATGGAGAGATCCACCTCAGAATAGCTTATAGCCTAGTGGTTAGGGTACTGTCTTGGGAAGTAAGAGATGCAAGTTCAAACCCCTCTTATCATGCAAAAGGGGAATTGAACCTGGGTCTCTCACTTCTTGGGCAAGTACTCTAACTGAGCTAAAAGTTATAATATTGGTACCACTACCTCCTCCTGCTCCTGACATGTTGTATTCTAACCCTTAAAAATAGTTGAAAACGAAATCATTTGGGTAAATGTTGTTTCATTTGACCCAAGACAGATTTTTATTTTAATTTTTTGATTCAATTAAATTTTTCAGAATTTTTGGATTTGTTTTGGGTTGAACCAAAATCATTTTTGAAACTGCCAGCAAACTAAAAAAATCAGCTCTTCATCCAGCTACATTTCTAAGTGCTTTGTAAACATCTATTTACACCAAGTGTGGCTGGTACTGTACAAAATATCCTAGAAGACAAATATAGAAAGATGCACTGGAGGACCAGAGGAAGGAAAAGTGTTTGGTTTGATATATTTTTTTATTCTCTTATAAACCTGGTTTTAGAAGTGCTGTCTACGTTGGTTTGGGCATCCTACAGCCTACTCCTGAAATAATCAGTGCTTTCAGGGGAAGTTCAAAATCTGTAAAGGCATATGGGCCCAGGGAATTATCCCTATCAAGCACACCTCTCCCTTTTCAGCAACACTGGTACAGATAATATCTTGGCAAGGAAATGTTTTTTAAATAACATGCCCATTCATTATTATCAAACTTACTGTCACAGAATATACAGAAGAAAATTGGGCAGGCCAAATAGTCTTTGATCATTATTCATGGATATAAATCATATTTCATTCAAGTCTTTTTCTAAGCAAACCACTTCTCTGAACGTTTCAGTGAAGGCCCAGTGAAACAAGTGAAATTAGAGCCTTCACTCATATGGCAAATTCTTATTACCTCTAGTACGTAATATACATTTTGGGCCACATTGTTTTTATTTAAGAGATGCATCAGATACAGACTAGTCCCCTTGACATGGTTCCTTTTGCCAAGTGTCCTTTGCATTCTGAGTAATTGCATTGAGTAAAAGGCTGGCTGGCTGTAGTAATAATATGGTTTAATTAATGTGCTTATTGAACATAATGGTAGAAAGGGATTTTTTCTTCTGGCTAATGATTTTCTCTCTTCACCTTTTTATGTATTTGTGGTTTTGCTGTTATTACAAACATTCATAAATACAGAACTTCAATATGCTGTCACAAATCACCTAGTGTTACTAAAAAATGAAGGCTCATAGCTTAGGAACTCAGATTTTCTCTGCCCTGTTGATGTGCAGGAGGGCATAGGGCACAAGGGGCCTTCCCCTGTTTGTCTCTTAGTGTAGTGAGTAGGCAAGGAGTACTGGTGGGTAGCTGCTACAGTGGCTTTAGCTTTCCCAGAGGGTCCCATTCCCAACTCCACACCAGCCAGCTGAGTGGGACTGATTCCTGAAGAATACATGCAGCATCTCCTCCAAGAATGCAAGCAGCTGTTCTACCACAAGGATGCTGGAGGCAGTGACTACCTAAGGTCCAATATCGCCAGGAGCATTGGGTGGGTGCTGCACCTCTGTGCACCCCCTACCAGAGGTTAATACTACAGATGAGCTCAAAATGTCTTCCTTTAAAACATCTCAATCTCAAGTATGCCTAGAGAAAATCCCCCAAAATAAATTCTGTATGGCTATTTGTAGTCAGTGGTGCCAATTTAAATCCTGAATCTGGAAGAGACAGCTGAAGAATTACAGCTTTTGAGGTCTCCAGACAATCACTCTAGAGAAGAATTTCTGTAACACAATTTAGTTCTTCTAGTCCCTTCTAGGCATTCAGTCATGCCCTATAATTCCTGGGATTTAAGTCCAACAGGGGTTTTTCCCCATTCATTTTTCCACTCATTTTAAACCAGCAGTTGCTCTTTTTTTTTTTTTTTGAGGAGAGTGGAGGTGTGTGATAAATTCATATAATAATTTATTACAGCCAATCATTACAATAACACTCAAAGTAAATTAACATTGTGTGCACTATTAGATATGAAATTGTTTGCAAGGTCGTGACTGCACACAACATTGTGGATGAATGAAAGAGCATTGCCAAGAAAACACAAACATAAATTAAAGTTCTTTAATTTAGGTGTGGGATGGATAAATAATGATTTGCAATTTGCAGCAACCAGGGATCTCATGTGGCTTTGTTCATATTTTAATAGTTTACTCCTCTTTGCAGTTTCAGTAATTAAGTCTTATGACATTCCAGAAAGCATAAATCCTGCTGAGATGTTTAAGTTTGGAGCATCCTCTTGATGTACAATCAAAAAAAAAAGACACTTACCCAGGATCTTAACAAGCTGTTTTGCTTTTACCTTTGAAACACAATTGAATGGTAAAGTAATGTGGTCTGCTCAAACTGTTTTAGTCACATTGTTAACTAGAACCTCCTTTTGAAATTCATTGCCTTCAATTATATTTTTTAAAAGAATTTTAATTATGTGACTGAAAAGAATAAAGATGCTCCCGGCTCCATTTGTTTACCATGGAAGGCCTTAAAAAATGAGGACAGAGCTTCCCAGCTCATGCAGGGGTTGCAGAGAGAGAGAGATGACTTTTAATTCGACAAGTTCAGAGAGATTTCTTAGTTTGACGCGCATAGCAGGGGGTCTTTGAGCGCCTGGCAATACTTCAGCATTCTGAGCTTTGAAAGTCTTTCCCTGCAGCAGAAATTGTATCAAAAGCCAATGATAATATTCCCTGCAAGGTAAAGCACCCTATTGAAGATTTCTAGAGCTGTTTATTTATTCATCACAGTTTTTTCTTTTAGGACATATCAGGCATATAGGTAATAATTCACATAGATGATTGATTGCATTTTTCTATCAAATAAATAAATAAATAAAAATGCCTCATTAATATTTTCCATCTTCCCTTCTTATGCTTCTCCATAGGCCACATGTAGCTATAAAATATGGTTGTGCTTGCCCTATATGTATATATAAAATTCACTACAAATCTCAGCCTTTCCCTGTTTTTAGTAAAATTGTCACTCTTCTGTCTATCTTCGATCACTAGCTGGGTACATAAGATGTTTATGGCCGTTTCCTTCTTACTAAGCCCTCAAAGTGATAGGTCAATTTTACAGGAAGTTATTCAGTTTTGTAGGAGACTTTTTAAATCTTAATTTTTAAAGTAGGTTTCAGGTAACTGTTTTCAAAGCCAAGCTTAAAGCTTCATTTATATTCAAAAGATCTTGTTTTTAATATTTTTGCATTACCTTTATATGAAAAATATATACATGTGTTTTTCTCCTCTATTTTTGTTTTGTTTTTCCACAGCAGAGCGAGGGCTGTGAGACTACGACAATCTGTCCCTAGTGTAATGTCAATGTCGGCTATCACTTTGGCAGAAACAGCCAGCTCAGTGAAGACTAAGAGTCCCATCTCCTGTTTTTTCATCTGCTGGTGGCATTCAAAGTGACCTTGCCTTGTAAATATTGGTGAGTGACCACAAGGGAAAAGCAGTTCCTTGATGAAAAGGAACTTGTTTTAAAAAAAAAAAAAAAAAGTAGGTGACCTGCATTTCTTTCTAGGATAAACATTAGGGAAAGTGTCCACACAAACAATATGCAAGATATGTTTGCTGTTTTAATCATAGTCTATTTAACTATATTTATTTCTTTACACTGAAAAGTATGTACTGAGCTGTAGCTAGTAAGAGGTAATCAACATGTGATAATATTTTTTCTTATTTAAACCCCTTCCTGCCCAGTAGGTGACATTCTCACCCCTGCTCCAGTTCCTGAATGCTAGATAAAAAGCCTGGAATAGTATAAAATGGCCTTTAAAGTCCCAAATCTGGCAAGGAAAGAATATCCCCAATGTAGGAGTTAAGGAAGACAGCTGAACCACCCCTCATCATCTTTGGTGTAAGGGGCATGTAAGTGGTGGTATAGCAGCAATCACTGCTGCAGAGATTCTGGGCAGGCCATGAAGGCTACTGTAACTTAAAGTGCCCCTCAGGGCTGTCTAAATTGTGCAAGAGGCCACTAAATCCAATTTAGCTCCCACCCCTGGCTCAGAGTTCTGTGCTGCACTTCTAAGAGGCACAGCACAGAATCATGCCCAGTGTGTCTAAGGAGATATTTCATGTTGAAATCAGATGGGTGGAGAGTGAAAGTCACTCAGGAGTACAGGTAATTTATATATTATAACACAAATATTTTAAATGATTTATTAGATTAAAAAAAACAAAAAACAGGTTAACTTTTAAGTTTGAGTAGTGTTAAATGCAGGGGTGTTCCCAGGCTATAAATAACGTAAGTATTTTAATTATTTAATCTACAGTGATTGTCACAAAACAGTAAACATTTGTGCATCATTACCATTCAGTATTATCTGGATTAACTCCTATTAACAGTGCTACCTCATTCATTGCTATATGGTATCTGTGAGCACAGATTGACATTTTAATGGCTATACCTATCCTTGTATGCCATTTTATAAATGGACTATACCAGCCTCAAAAGACGTAGCGATATGAAAATTATTGCAGCATCAAACAACAGTGAAAAGCCATTCCAACAGAGGAGGAATTGTTGACTGGTGGTGCCTGTCATTGCAGTAATATTGATGGACATTTGGGTAATTTAGTCTTAACCTTGGTTCTATGTCTGCCCATGACTTTGTTTGGACTGGCTAAGGAAATAAGCAAAGGAGACCCTACGTTCTGATTGAGGATCATTTTTACAATGATAAATAAGTGAAAGAATAAATAAGTATAGAATTGAATGAATGCATTTTCTATAGCTATGCATCTAGTAATATTTTGTGATGTTGCATCACATTATGCTTCTTCTGAGTTCTGTATAATATGAGGGATGACACCGCATGATTCATTAACCGAAAGTGTCCCTATTCGGGAAAACTCTTAAGCATGTACCTATGTGATTTGGGTCCTTTTAGGGATAAATTCCACCATCACTAACTCTCCTGCAACCCCAAATAAAATAAATGTGCTGCTTGGGTGTATTTGATGCCACAATGTGTCTGAATGTCTAGCGGTTGGTACAGAGATGGGTGGTCAATGGCCAGACATTTGGCAGTCAGCAGGAAGAGAAAATGAAATCACATTAACCAGGGATATGTAAGATCAACCAGGTCAGAACTTGGAAATGGTAACACAAACCGATTTGGGAAATCACTGCTCTTTCTGGAGTTGTACATTTTTTTATTTAAAAAAGTGATTCTGCAATGATAGAGTTGTGAGATATTCAGGCAATCAGCTCAGATAGTTTGCTTGTTTTTGTGAAGGATGTAAACAAAAGTGAATGGTATAGCTTTGGTAATGACTGTACTGTGCAATTTACAGTTCAGCCATATTATTAACTCTTTGCATAGTTGTTGCTTTCTTTAAAATAAAATTGAAAAATTGAAACTTTAGCAGATGCTTCGTCAGCCATTTGACACAGCTGTGGACCCTCAGTTTCTCTTTATTTTTCCATTTATTGGGCATCTATACTTATTACCACTAGGTCCCTTGAATGGGTACATGAATCACTGCTCATTGTTTTTCATTATGAAATTATGAAATTTAAATTATGAAAGCTTTTTCCAGAGCAAGACTAATAGGCTAATAATAGATAATAGGTTGATCATAGGATCTCTTGGGACTGCTTTTTCTGCTAGTTGAGGTAATACCTTCACGAATCTATGGTCTATTTTGATAAAATGCCTAAAATAGGTCATAGAGCAGCTTCGTAGAAACCGGTATGTGAACAGAGTGGATTAAAGTATTATTATTTGTTTGTTGGTTCATTTCTGGCAGTACTTTATAATTAGAGTTAGGTGAACAATGGATTTTTTTCATTCAGTGCAAATTCTGAAAAAATTAAAAAGACTTCATTTTTGGATCAAACAAAAAACATTTTTTTAAAAACTTGTTGTTGAAATGAAATGTTTCATTTTGACCTGTTTGCTTTTCTTTGGGAGTGGGGAGGGGACATAACTCTCTCTATTTAATTGTTTATAAAAAGTAGAACAGCTTCAATAGGAAAGATTGAGAAAGTCTTATAATATACCATAGTCCACTTGATAGGGCACTCACTTAAGAGATGGAAAACCCTTGTTCAAATCCCATCTCCTCATAAGGCAGAGGGGGAGTTGAACTGGGTGAGTTTGCTAACCTCTGGGTTAGAGGTTATAATCCCACTTTTTCCCCTCTCCCCAGGCTGTTTTGTGAATCCAGTCCTCCTTTGCATTTGTCAAAATGCCAGAAATTGAAACGAAACATTTTGTTTTTCAACAGTCTGAAACATTTTGATGTTTGTCTCTTTGGTTGAAACCATTTGGTGACCTCGACACAAATTCATGAATAGTTTGGGGTCAACCAAAACTGCATTTTTTGTCAAATAAACTGTTTGCTGAAACAGTTTTTTCCAGCTCTATGACAATATGCTAGGTGCTTTTCAAACTGAATCCACAAAAGCAGCTCCCAAAAATCAGAGTTATTTTACCTATAGGATGAATAGAAAATGACCTGTGACAACATCCAGCTGTCAAGAGAAAGGAGCGACTTCGCATAGTGATGATTTTCCTTATTTTGTTTTCCATTTTCAGTTTGTTTGTCTCAGTCATGTATTTCAGTCTGATCTGGCAGATGGTTCTGTGATCAGTTGCTCACTGTTTCCTTTGCATTTTCACACATTTAAAGTTTTGTTTGTATAACTAATTTGGCACTAGTATCATAGGCATTCTAGAGAGTTCATGGGCCTTTAAAAAAAAGTAACAAAACAAACAAACAAAACTTCCTGTCTGAATGTGGAACAAGTTAGCAAGGCTAGGGAGCCAATTGCTGGTCTCAACTTATTGCAGCAGAATGGTGTTAACCTTTCACTGTTTTTTTTTTAAAGTCCCAGACTATTATTTAAAAGATTTGTGAAATCTAGTGGCAGTTCTACACAGAAAGCTTTAAGGACAAGTTTACCCTTTGAAGCCAATGGCTTCAAACTACACATGGAGGATTAATCTTAATGAGGATACTTCCATGCAGTTTGGTACAAATATTGATTGATGGTGCACACTAAATTAGCTTCCAGTAACATAAACCATCTTCAGTACTAAACATTGTTGCTCTCCATCAAGGTTAAATCAGGGATTTTGCTAGACAAGAATTCTAAGTTTTCCCTTTTCTTTAAATGGTTTTCCTTGGGAGTTAATTTTGTTTCTCTTGTGTTTTCTGAATTGATGTGAATCTGCTGGAAATTAATGTATAATGCTATTTCATTTTTGAATAAATAATTGTGAAAACTGTTAAATGGTAGTGAAAATAGGATGAGTAATGCAAGGAACATACCAAATACAATCAGTAAATATAATAAGTACAAAAAAATGCAGGAAATCATTGCGATCCATGTGGTCCTATTAGAAACTGAGCCTACTGAATAGTAGGGAAATTTTTGCACAAATATTTGTTTACATTAGAAAGAAAATTTTGATTAATTGTTTTCAGGACTTTTTTTAGGCTCATTCTGTGAAAACATTTGAGCTTATCCAGTGTACACACCTGAAAAGAATATTTTCAAGTTTCCAACCTGGAACATTCTCTGAAAGTGAATTACAAATTATGTATTGGATTAAAAAATGGCCATGGGTTAATTATGTAGGTCATCCAATAAGGGAACTGAAACAATACTTAGTAAATTACATAGAGAATGCAGGATATTCACCATGAATTATTTGTGAATAATATTCAGAGCAAGAAAACTTCACAGAAGAAATCATGAACAATTTTGAATAACACGTACATTCAAAAAATTCACAATTGGTTCTTAGCTAATTCAAGAACATTCAAAAGTGAAAACCATTAAATAAATTAATCATTTCAATGTATTGGCTTGTCTCTATTAGACACATTCTTAAAAAAATGAGGTGCAGCTATGGAAATCATAAAAATAAGTCTCTTGTTTGGAGAGTACTTTGATAAGTTGCTTTGTCTAATTACACAGGAAGCTGTAAAATGAGTTTTATTCAGATCTTTCTACAATGAAACATTGTACTCTATGCAGTTACATGGAAAGCTTTCAAACACCAGGATTAAAAAAAAAAAACACCACGGCTGACCATGTGGTAGTGCTTCAAGGAGATAAGTAGTTGTCTGAAGCATCTAGATCAAAATAAGCTTGTGTATACTTTTGTATACACTACAGTTTCTGGGTAGTGTTTAAATAAAATATTTTATACTGTACTACCTAAAATGTCTGGTTCATGGTTAGTGTGGAAGAATTTTTTCCCCGTTTTAATTTGCTTTCCATTTTTGCTGTTCTAATCACATAATAGGTTAGTTTAATTTTAGTTGTTTAGGGATAGGTTTCCCTAGCCTCTGTTTGCCAGAAGCTAGAAATGGCTGACAGGGGATGGATCACTTGATGATTACCTGTTCTGTTCATCCCCTCTGAAACATCTGGCATGGCCACTGTCAGAATACAGGATACTGGGCTAG